GTGCGTGCCTGTAGTCCCAGCTACTCAGGAGGCTGAGGCAGTAGAATCGCTTGAACCTGGGAGGCAGAGGTTGCTGTGAGCAGAGATCACACCATTGCACTCCAGCCTGGGCGGCTCAGTGAGACTTCGTCTCAAAAAAAAACAAACATACATTTCTCAGGTGCTGCAGGAGGTGCTGGAGTAACAAGGACAGACGTGATGCCTGCCCTGCAAGAATTTGAGTCAGACATACTTGAGGTTTGGAGTGGGACCAACCATGCAGTAAACACTGACTACAAATGAATCTTGGCTGGTACCAAATACCCCGATTTCGCAAGGCAGGGATTTTATTGGCATCTCTTTCTTAGTTTTATGGGTTTGAGTTGAATCATGTCAACCATGTGGTTAATAATTGAGAGATTTATTATTATTACTACTACTCCTAATAATTTCTACTAACGGTAATTTTTAAATCTTGATAGATTATAATTTTTCCCAGGACATGCAGCCTTTCATAAGTATAACTGTCTCATTGATCATGTAGCTCAATTGCAACTGCTGGGAGCTGCTGCCTTCCTGCTTGCTGAAGTCACCTGTCGCTTTGCCCCCAGCCATCTAAGGGCCTGTCTCCTGGCTCACTGAGCAGACAGGCTGGCCCTGAGCTCTGCTCTGCTGTGTGATGGTGGCAAAATCTGTCCAACGCTTTTCCTATCTCTCTTTTTATTCTACAGCAGAAGTATTGGGAGGCCCTAAACTCGGAGCAGGTATGGACAGTCATGCTCTTTCTCTTCCAGGAGGGGTTTACCTATGGCTTGATTTCAGTCCCTGTTTTTGTGAGACCTCCTTAGATGGCTGGCCCAATGACAAATTCCTTTAGTAAAAGAAAAAATGTCCGCCAGGCACAGTGGCTCCCGCCTGTAATCCCAGCACTTTGGGAGGCCGAGACAGGCGGATCACCAGGTCAGGAGTTCGAGAGTAGCCTGGACAACACAGCAAACACCATCTCTACTAAATTATAAAAAATTAGCCGGGCATGGCAGCGTGTGCTTCTAATCCCAGCTATCGGGAGGCTGAGATAGGAGAATCACTTGAACCTGGGAGATGGAGGTTGCAGTGAGCCGAGATCGTGCCATTGCACTCCAGCCTGGGTGACGGAGCAAGACTCTGTCTTGAGTTAAAAAAAAAAAAAAAGTATCAAATGATAGGCAAGACTGAGGATCCATGGGATTTTCAGGGCTCTCTCAGTTCTGAGTTCTGCTTTGCGGGTATTCAGGTAGGCCCAAGCTATCTAGTAGGAACCCCAAGAAGGTGTGTAACCCAGTGAAGAAACATGGTTTGGAACAATAGTAGTAGTGGCAGACGTGGCCGCAGCAGCTGTGGCAAGAAACAGTTCTGTCATTCCGGGACCCTGGGCAGCTGGTGCTGTCTCTATGCCACCCTTGCCTCCAGGTGACAGATGGGCACGTTTTGTGACTACCTGTGCCTGTCGTCTCCTAGGATTGTTCTGATATGAAAATGGATCATCTTTTGCTCAGATTCTCTTCATGCCTGATTTCCAGGAGTGGTTTATCATAAAATGAAGTTTTAGGCTGGGCGCAGTGGCTCCCGCCTGTAACCCCAGCACTTTGGAAGGCTGATGGGGGCGGATCACCTGAGGTCAGGAGTTGGAAACCAGTCTGGCCAGCATAGGAGATCCCCCTCTCCACTGAAAATACAAAAATTAGCTGGGTGTGCTGGCACGTACCCTGTACCAGTTTAAAGGCTCATTTGATCAAAGGGACAGGTTGTTTTCTGTTTGCAGGCACCTGAATTGGTCAGGGTTGGCAAGAATATATTTTTTTTTTTTTTTTTTTTT